ATGCAAAACAGATGTAAACATACAACTGCGTGCAAAACATCTCGACCAAATGCTTCCGTGTGGACAACGTCTCGTCGTCTTCTTTAACAGCATGCATGTGACAAGCATTGTGGTCATCTCGCAACTGCGAGAGGACATGCATGGCCTCGTTCTTTTGCATAAGTTGGCTATGTTCAAAAACGTTATGTCACTACATCTGTGTACAAACAAGGGATGTCTGACGATGTCTGTCCTTAGAGCTTGCCGACCGTGAACATGCGCACCAGCCCCGCCTGGGATCAAGTCTTACTAATTGCAAAGCTACAATTGTATTCTGGACACTGAGGGCCAGGCAACGAAGAATCCCAAGAAGAAAATAGCAAAGACCCTCAGCTGACTTGCAACATCTTGCGACTGTGGGTATGCCCAAATATAGCGGACACCCCACTCCCAATACCAAAATAGAAAGTCCAAATCCTGTCTGTAAATCGTGGCTGCTAGCCAGCAAAACACTGGTGAGAACTGAGTCTTCAGCAAGCCAAACTGGTTCAACTCGGTCTCTGAGAATGCCTAGTTCAGAGATCAGAAGGCAGCACATGCATAATTAATTTGCTAAAGCAACCCTATCAAATCCCAATGAGAAACACTCTTCCTCAAAATACTAGTGACCTGGCGGTCCGGGTGCAGTGATGCTGATTGGTAGTCCAAGCAGGAGCTTATGGAAACTGTGGCCGACGTTCCTTGAGTCTTTGGCTCTTGTGTACTGACTGTACTGAGAGCCCCACCTGTGCCTGGCCTGGCACTGACGCCACAAGGCTGCCAGAGACAGCCAGCAAAGACCGCGCCTACAAGGATGCTCCAAAACAACTGACGTGCAAGGTGGACAAGCCAGGTCAGAGCCAGGTCGATTGGAAAAAAATGGTGTAAAAAGAGGATCATCGTCCATGGTAGTAGTAACAATAATAAGAATAATGAATATATATATATATATTACATATATAATATACTTTGGAGTACTCCAGAACCTTTCCATCATGACTGCGGAAGTCAAACAGCTAGGTCACTGAGTCTCACACCGGTGCACCTCGCAAGGCGGCTCCCTTAGCGGGCTGAGATACTAGGGGTGGGCTCTGCTCTTGCATCCGAATGGCTCTTGGCCATGGATCAAATGACAAGTCACTAACTAGCAAACGATTGACGCGTGCTTATGCGAACCGACGAACGGAGTCGGCCTCAGTTGCAGTGCCAGGCAAAGCGACGAACGCTGAGCCTTACATCACGACGGGACTGTGCTGAAGACTTCATGAAGCGTTTTCACCGCTTGGAGGCTTGGATATTGAAATGTTTGTTGATCCTCCGGTTCCAACTAAGGTCACAGAGTCACGACCAAGCAACAACCAGTACCCAGTTTCTACTCCTTTACGGCACCTAGCAGGTTCATCGTGAAAAGTTGATGTTTTAAGACACTTGAGGCTCCGGCTCAAAAGCGACGCCACGATGCAAAGCAGGGCGATGGGCAGGGCGCGAGCCATGACCTTGGCCAGGGATCTCTTGGCAAACCTCGTCTCTTCCCTGCAAAACAAAGCATGAGCTCCCCAGGTAGAAGAAACCAGTTGCATTTCAAAACTACAAGTCTTCAAAGGAAAAAGGTTCTTTTGCAGCAAGGAACTACGTACAATGAATATGAACTGTAGTCACTGTAGTCCATGTTTCAGGTCCATGAAGAAACAAACAACAAAACCAGCTCGGTGACATTCGTTGGAAATCCTGCACCCGACCACTCACCATGCCCAACAATGGTGATGGCTTCTTCCACTGCATTTGAGTCAAGCACTGCATACGAGTGCGTGGCGCAGTCAGGTCTGATGGCGATCCATAACAACCCAACACCAGGAACAACATGGTCGGACCTCTATGTCGGCCCATACCTAGCAAGAGATTGGCGTCCGTCCACAGTTCCGCTCAGCCGCGAGGGGGAGGCTTTCGGGGCGGAAAGGCGGTCGGTGTCGTTCGTGCCTTTTTTGGGGCTGGTGAAGGCTGCGTGGGCGGCGACATCAGAGTTTCACAGCTGAACGCTCTCATCCATATTTCAAGTGGCTCTGTACAAACAAGATTCAAGGAGCAGCAAATCTATAGGTTTGGTCCAGGTCGGCTTGGTAGAAGTCAACCACATCACACTCTGTGATTCAAGTCACAAATGAGCGCTGAATGCTTTGAAAAGCTGGCAAAGCAGCAAAGATGAAAAGCAATTAAACTCATGTCTTGCAAGCAGAGCTGAGCACCCTTTTGGCATTCTCATTTGCCAAAAAAACTGCCTCCGGTCTTGAAGAGGGTCCTAAACCTCCGGCGTTCAGTCTCCTTGGCAAAAGATCGCAGATGAAAAACATAACATAAGCAAAGACAAAAATGGAAGCAACCACGTACAATACCCCTTGACAAAATGTGTTGGTGCGCTTCAAGGACCTTTGTCTTCTGCAACAGCAACAGCTTGAGACCCTGAGTCTTGTCAAAAAGCACGATTATTTCACCATAGTTGGGCTACAAGGACAAGCATTGCGGTCATCTCGCAACTGCGAGAGGACATGCTTTGCCTCGTTCTTTTGCATAAGTTGGCTATGTTCAAAAACGTTATGTCACTACATCTGTGTACAAACAAGGGATGTCTGACGATGTCTGTCCTTAGAGCTTGCCGACCGTGAACATGCGCACCAGCCCCGCCTGGGATCAAGTCTTACTAATTGCAAAGCTACAATTGTATTCTGGACACTGAGGGCCAGGCAACGAAGAATCCCAAGAAGAAAATAGCAAAGACCCTCAGCACAAATTGACTTGCAACATCTTGCGACTGTGGGTATGCCCAAATATAGCGGACACCCCAGTCCCAATACCAAAATAGAAAGTCCAAATCCTGTCTGTAAATCGTGGCTGCTAGCCAGCAAAACACTGGTGAGAACTGAGTCTTCAGCAAGCCAAACTGGTTCAACTCGGTCTCTGAGAATGCCTAGTTCAGAGATCAGAAGGCAGCACATGTATAATTAATTTGCTAAAGCAACCCTATCAAATCCCAATGAGAAACACTCTTCCTCAAAATACTAGTGACCTGGCGGTCCGGGTGCAGTGATGCTGATTAGTAGTCCAAGCAGGAGCTTATGGAAACTGTGGCCGACGTTCCTTGAGTCTTTGGCTCTTGTGTACTGACTGTACTGAGAGCCCCACCTGTGCCTGGCCTGGCACTGACGCCACAAGGCTGCCAGAGACAGCCAGCAAAGACCGCGCCTACAAGGATGCTCCAAAACAACTGACGTGCAAGGCGGAGAAGCCAGGTCAGAGCCAGGTCGATTGGAAAAAGCCATCGTCCATGGTGATAGTTTGGAGTACTCCAGAACCTTTCCATCATGACTGCGGAAGTCAAACAGCTAGGTCACTGAGTCTCACACCGGTGCACCTCGCAAGGCGGCTCCCTTAGCGGGCTGAGATACTAGGGGTGGGCTCTGCTCTTGCATCCGAATGGCTCTTGGCCATGGATCAAATGACAGGTCACTAACTAGCAAACGATTGACGTGTGCTTATGCGAACCGACGAACGGAGTCGGCCTCAGTTGCAGTGCCAGGCAAAGCGACGAACGCTGAGCCTTACATCACGACGGGACTGTGCTGAAGACTTCATGAAGCGTTTTCACCGCTTGGAGGCTTGGATATTGAAATGTTTGTTGATCCTCCGGTTCCAACTAAGGTCACAGAGTCACGACCAAGCAACAACCAGTACCCAGTTTCTACTCCTTTACGGCACCTAGCAGGTTCATCGTGAAAAGTTGATGTTTTAAGACACTTGAGGCTCCGGCTCAAAAGCGACGCCACGATGCAAAGCAGGGCGATGGGCAGGGCGCGAGCCATGACCTTGGCCGGGGATCTCTTGGCAAACCTCGTCTCATCCCTGCAAAAGAGAGCAAACCATCAAGACCTGATACGGTCAGCCTATGTGACCTCTAGTCGCGGTCTGTGAACACCAACATGCAAACCCTTTGGCTCAAGTGTTGGGTGCTAGGCGTTTGGATTCTGCTATATTATAACTCCGACTCCTATTTCTCCCGATCTTTCCAAGGACCAAAAACAAACATCCAAGAGAAGGAAGCAACATCTTCTCTTGACTCTCGGAACCCCCTGAAAAGTTTGCTGGATCTTGCTGGCAATTGAGAGGGAGACCATCAAAAACGGAAAACTTGCTGGGGGTCTTATCAAACATTTGCAGTGTATTTGAGTCAAGCACTGCATACGAGTGCGTGGCGCAGTCAGGTCTGATGGCGATCCATAACAACCCAACACCAGGAACAACATGGTCGGACCTCTATGTCGGCCCATACCTAGCAAGAGATTGGCGTCCGTCCACAGTTCCGCTCAGCCGCGAGGGGGAGGCTTTCGGGGCTTGGCGGTCGGTGTCGTTCGTGCCTTTTTTGGGGCTGGTGAAGGCTGCGTGGGCGGCGAGGACATCAGAGTTTCACAGCTGAACGCTCTCATCCATATTTCAAGTGGCTCTGTACAAACAAGATTCAAGGAGCAGCAAATCTGTGTTTGGTCCAGGTCGTCTTGGTACAGGCTGATTGAAGACTCAACAGGCATACCCACATGCCAAAATGGCTCTTCTGACGTCTTGCTTGGGCTCTTGGTGCTATAGTTGCTACGTCTGCATTCTACATGGTCCAACAGAAGTTACCCTTCTAGAGTACGGTTCCAACCAAAGCATCATACCAAGACGAGCAAAGGTTGAGCCTTGCAGGTTTTTTTTGCTGGTTCAAAACACCTAAATCAGCTAATACATTTGTAGAGTGTAGAGTCACTCTTTGGGAATCCTTTTGTGATACAAAAGAATGTTGCATGAATCGTTCCACTGGCCTTTACAGCGATTCAAACTCCCACCGGTCACACATGTGATTCTTTGGCGTGGGTCACACATGTGACGTTTGAGCTCAACTCATCGAGACGACTTCCCTCCATCGAGACACGCTCGAACGCGAACGCGCTCCATTTTCGCATCCGGCGCTCCCACTGCTGCGCGAACTAAAAAACAAAACACCAAACCACGGCGACTCATCCAGGATCTTGAGTCCTCGAACCGAACAAAGGAAGATCAATGGAACAAAATGATATGTAAAGGGATAGTTCTGGCAGACATAATACCAAGATGTATACAATTTGTATAACTCTCCATCACGGCATAATTCCTTGATAATGTCTTTGCAAGGTCATTATACATCTTGCGAACGATGTCAAATCTAACTTTAGGGCAAAGATTGTGCTTCCATCTACTTGCATTCTTGATTTGAACCTCTTGATAACATTTGATAACTACTACATCCCACAAGTTTGCAACAAAACCCGCTTCTCTTTTGTCTTCTCTTCCCCATCGCTCTCGTTCACGCTCGTGCTCGCCCTCCTTGTTTCATCCATCTATCACCAAACTTTGCAGTATACAGTATTCCAAAGTGTTTTGAACGTCTGATTATGGATTTCAATTAAGTGCTGTTGCTCCCCTGAAGGCTGGTGAGTACATATTATACACAATATGGTGCCCAGTACGAGTACTGGCACTAACAAGAAGACCTGTGGCTGTGCACAGGGGAATTGTGCACTTGGGATACGAAAAAGTGTTTCAAGGCACCCTAAGGCCACACATCTTCAAAAAGGTATCTGTCTGTTCCATGTTTCATGCATCATCTGTATTAACCATCTGTCCTCATGCTTCTGCATACTCGTCAAGTCCATTGTCTGTCTCACGTATTCATCAAACAAAGATTCACCATATATATATATATATGTATAATTGCAGTGGTTTGAGAGTAGATGGCACAATCCCCAAGTTAGGTGGTTTAGATTGACCCCTATATACTTGAGGAGATGGGGGTGGACGAAAGGTAGCATGTCTGCGGCTGCTGCTGCTGGTTGCTTAGTCGTTGCTGCTGCCACTGGTGCCACTGCTGCTGCTTTCTGCTTTGCTGTGCTGCAACCGCTGCTTTGCTGTTGCTGCTGCTGCTGCTGCCGCCGCCACTGCTGCCGCTGCCGCTGCCGCCGCCGCCGCCGCCGCTGCTGCTGCTGGTTGCTGCTGCTGCTGGTTGCTGCTCCTGCTGGTTGCTGCTGCTGCTGCTCCTGCTGGTTGCTGCTCCTGCTGGTTGCTGCTGCTGTTTGGCTGTTGCTGTTGCTGCTGCTACTTCTTGCTGATTGCTGCTGTTGCTTGAATCCTGAAGGCTGCTGCTGCTTTGCTGTCCCCCCCTCTTTCAATTTCGTCTGCGCAACCCCCAAAAAACTGAACGAAAACCAAGGGTTGTGGAGGCCAAACTTGTGTGAGCTTTGGTGCTTTGCTGCTGCTGCTGCTGTTGCAGTCCTTGCTGCTGCCACTGGTGCCACTGCTGCTGCTTTCTGCTTTGCTGTGCTGCAACTGCTGCTTTGCTGTTGCTGCTGCTGCTGCTGCCGCCGCCACTGCTGCTGCTCGTTTGCTGCTGCTGGTGCTGGTGCTACCTTTTTGCTTTGCTGCTGCTGCTTTGCTGGTTTGCTGCTGCTGCTGCTGCTGGCTGCTTGCTTCTGCTCAGATCACTACCAAATTCTCCGCGGCGCAGGGTGGAGTCGAATGGGGGGCATTTAAAACCAACTCTTAAACGACCGAAATCAAGCACCGGACCATACCGGACCACTTCACCACCCCCAATACATTATTGCTAAAGCAAAGACAACTCAGGTAGCGTATCCACTACCTTTCGTGAAAAGACATCTTTTGGTTTGTGCGATCTATTCTCAAACCACTGTAATGCTTGTGCTGGTATGCTCCATCTCAGGTGGTTTGCTAGGCTCTTCCAGCACCAACGCAGTGCCTAGCTGCCTAGCTTAGTCGCCTGTCTGTGCCAGACGTACATTCCTCTTTCTTGGGCGCACCATCCCTGTCCTTAGAGCTTGCCAACCGTGAACATGCGCACCAGCCCTGCCTTAGGTGGGCAGACTCTGACCGCGGACTTGTCTCAAAGGTAGCTTAAGATTCCAGGCAACGAAGAATCCCAAGAAGAAGATCGCAAAGACCCTCAGCTGACAGAAGGTCCAAACGAAACGCGTTTTTGGTCCGCAAATCATCCACTTTACACAGATTGGACATGAGACAGCCTTGTCATGCCACCACGCGTGTTCCGAGTCTCGCACAGGCCGAACTGGTTGAGTTCCGTCTCTGAGAAGGCCTAAAGTTCCAGGGGTGCATGCCTTGGGATTCCTGATGTTGAGAACAAATCGATTATCAATTGGAAACTGGTATATTCTGAAATACTCCAAATTCCATGTGGTGTCACTTTCTGAGAGTCCCACCTGTGCCTGGCCTGGCACAGATGCCACGAGGCTGCCAGAGACAGCCAGCAGAGATCGTGCCTATTCAAAAGGTGGTTCTCTCGAGAAGGCTTTGCACGATCGAGGATGTTCAAGAGGTGTCGAACAGACAGGATCGAGAAGGCTTTACGCCCTGTCCATTGAGGATGTTCGAGAAGGCTTTGCGTCGAGGCCTTTCAGGAAACCTCCAAACTTGCCCAAGAGCTGTCAAACAACACCCACACTTCTGACTTGTGCTTAGTAGGGACTGAGGGTGGCTGGAACCAAAGGAATCTCTATGGGGATTCCATACGAGTCGCAACAGTCAGACTTGGAACCCAGACGTCTGACTTTGAAGCTGGGTTCCGCGCCGGTGCACCCCGCAAGGCTGCTCCCTTAGCCGACAAGGTGCTCCCTGTGGATGTCAGGTGAATGTCTGCCATGACAAAACGAGCAATTCAGGTTCGATTCATGTCCACATAGAAATTCAGGTCTCCAGGACTTCCATCAGGCCTCTGTTGCAGTGCCAGGCAGAGCCACGAAAGCAGAGCCTCAAGGCAGAGCATTGATCAAATCTGCCACTGCAATGACCGTGACAAAGGCTATCACAACCCAATGTTCGGCCAATACGGCAAGTGTCTATGGCCTCTATGGCCCGTCAACACTGCAACAGGTCACGGTGTCGGCAGCTTTCTCTCTTGGGAAAGCTTAACCCACAATAACTTGAGAATCACGTGGAAATGACATGAAAGCGCCTTCAAAGAAAACATCTACCTCAAGCTGAAGCTGGAAGCAGCTCTTCAGCTGAAGCTGGGCCCTAGGGCTCCAACTCAAAAGAGATGCAGCAATGCAAAGCACGGCGATGGACAGGGCGCGGGCCATTGCCTCAATGGGCAGCACGAAGTTGGATGAGTTTGTTCGGGGGTAAATCCAGCTAACTCCTAGACCAACAGCGTGGGGCGATTCCAAATGAGTGGTCCACCTGGAGTCGCATGGAGTCTTCCAAGATCCCCGTACCATTGAACTATTCTACCACTGGTCCCTTCAAATTCTCTTCCATTCCAACGGACCAGTGCAAATGTTGGAAAGTTGATGCACCAACCCGGGTTCCTCGGGCTAGCGCCACCACAGTGATAGCCTATAGCAGAACATCTGGGTCCCCCATGGAGATCTGATCTTTGCCATTCGTAATAAAGTGGATGAGGACACCTGAAGGTGAACGTATTAGAGTGGAGACCCAATGGGAGTACCAAAAAGATCCACTACCTACTGATTGGATGATATCTACTGGTTCAAGGGGCGCGCAGACTTTTTCAAGTCCAAGCGGGCCACAAGTCCATCGCTGCAAAAAAAGCGTCCTCTTAGCACAAAGTTTCCCATAGGCCAAATGGCATCTGCGATGCCTGAAACGCATAACAACATATGGAAATATGCAGCACCACACCTTTCTGCACCGTTGCAACATCAACCTCACATATAGTCACGTGACATGCTTGAAATCCGCCAACCCGGTCTTGGACCATGACGTCCTATACAACCCAACCTTTTGGGTGTTCTAAAAATGAAATAAAACTTTGACTGAAAAATACTTGTGCTACAATGGTGAAAGGCCTTGCAATGCTTTGGAGTACCATGTTTCACAAATGGAGTTCTTGGCGCCAAGGAAAAGAACCTACTACTACCACCACTACAACAACAACAACAACCCTTATGGCATCGCCGGTGTGCGAAGCACAATATGCATAGATACAGCAACTCCAAGAATAGCCAAATACCGTATACCCAGCCACGATGCCTCAGTGTTGGAGCTCTTGGTGAAAAACGTCATCTGACCCCAATTCTCCAAGTAATTTGTTCACCTCCAAGCCACCGAAGGTCGGTTGGTGGGTCGCTCGCTGGTCGGCGCAGCTGGGGGCGACGAACGCGGACGCTGAGAGTGTTGAGCCGCAACGGTTTGGTGTTCTGGTCACTCAAAGCGTATCCAAAGAGAGGCCCCAAACGTTTAAAGAAAAAGAGAAACGGCACGCTGCAGAGGCCAAAGAATGAGCAGGTAGCATCCTATAACATCGATTTGTACTGGTAATCATCACACCTGGTGACTGACATTGACTTGCTGCATGAACGCACAAAGAATTCTGTCCTTCCCCTAACCAAGCAGCTGCGTCGCTGGAAGTCTTCACTTGACGTGATTTTCCTTCGCACATGCCATAGGACACACCAACAGCATCGTGGCCACAGATCTGAGGTCGCCTGCCGGTCGCCTGCAAAAAAGTGAAATGCAGAGCTCATCGATGTGATGCCGATCAGCACCCCGTGCTCGGAAGCCAGAGAACCGCCGAACCGGACATCGCTGCCGGTCGCTGCTTGGCGCTGCCAGGGTAGCTGCCATCTGTACCAGTGAGCAACTGGATTCACCAAGCTGTGTTTTGAGCCGTCATGAGGTCATGAGCTCAGTGTATGGCCGTTCCGAGCCAAGTGAGGCCGGGGCCCGAGCTCGGGGTTGGATCACTCTCCACGCTTCACGCTTCAAGCACTTGCGCCGGACTCTTTGCTTTACAAACGCATGCACGTGCACAGCTCATACACTCTTGAACACTCATGGTTCTACGGGGCGTGTCTGCAAAGCTCTATATGTACCTACTTGGCCACTGGAAATGCATGGCATGGGTAGCCCTGCACGCACAACCAACGCGAGCAGCTCCATAGTTCAGTGTCACATGTCTACACCTTTTGTTCTTTTTCCTCTCAGGACGTGCATTGCTTGTCCAGGCCCAGGAAAAAGCAGATTGGACGCTTTTTCCAGGCCCGGGTAGAAGCAAATTTGCCAAGCTGCATCCTCTTCAGTTTCCTCTCTCGCATGGAGTCTTTGCCACCATTGGTCAAAATGCAAAGGTTTAGCTCCAGCAGTGTTACACGACCAGGGCGAAAGAATACAGTCAAGCTTCTTCCTCTTCAGCTTTCTCTCGCCTACGGATTCCCCGCAACCCCTCTTGAAGTCAATCCTTCTTTGGCACACCGCGCCTAATCCTCTTCAGTTTCCTCGCTCAAACGGTTTCCCTGCCACCAGTGTTGGCAGCTCTTTCCGGAGTCCGACGGAGCTCCTCGGGCTGCATGGAAGCAAGCATTGTGAAGCAGCATCACTGCCCAGCTGTATGTATTGGAGTTAAGCCATGATCACCTCTTGGCCCCCTGTGTCATCTCTTGGCCCTGTAAGCAGCCAGTGCTTTGAAAAACCATGTTTTTTGAGATCCAGTTACCAAAATGTAAAGCAGTGTATCAATCCGTCATCATCCTGCATCTCTGACCTTGAGGTCGCCAGCTTCCGCTTCCACTTCATGGCAATCACCGAGTAGTTGTTGGTCTAGTGGTGGATCAGGTGGGCAAAGCGCCAGTTTCTGGTCCTCCGGTCTTGGTGGATCCTAAACTTCCAAGTAATTACATCTCTTGGAGACCCCGTGCCGCTCGTTTCAACAAACACGATCTTCACAATGTTTCCAGTATGACCACCCATTCATGGCGGCGGCTGCCAGGATCAAAGATTGAATTCCAGTGCCTAGCAAAATGCAGACTTGCCTAGCAACAAGCACGATCTTGGCAAATGGCAATGTTTGGTACAGTACTTGGGTCCAACATATCCAACACCGTTCTTGGCCTCTTGGACGGTTCTTCCAAGTCGTTCTTTATCACTACGCGAAAGCCGAAGCCCCGTCCGCAAGGGGCTCCAGCGCGGACGGGCACCGCTCCGTCTTCGCCCGAAAGGACGGGATCATGGGATCATCGGTGGCTCACGTCGCGAAGCGGCCTGCCGGGACACAGGACGTGGAGGATGCGGTACTTTGGATGTGGTGGAGATTGGGTTCATCCTGGATCATGAGAGATCAACTCATCACTGCTAGCAATGAGAAATCTCGTGCGCCCCTGGACGGACCAGGACCAGGGTCCTTCAAAGGACCTGCTGGCGCAGGACCGGGAGTTCGTCTTGCGTCGTCTTGCGCCGCCGTCGTTGGGTCAGCCGAGTTTCAGCTGTTGGTGATTTGAATTCGGAAGGATTCTCGGTATCCAAGATGGGAAGTGTTGTGCTCTCATTCGCACCTTAAAAAGAGAACTGTTGGTCCAAGACCATGACCTCTCCACAGTATTTCTCAAGCCCTTCAAGTAAATGAAAAGAGTTGGGTGTCCAAATAATCCTCTTCCTCCTCGTGGAGATGTTGTTCTTCTTCTGACCAAAGCCATGTCATCTCCACAAATCGATTGCAATATCAGGCTCACGCCTCAAGGACAGGCAGGTCATAGAATCCGAGAAGGTGGTACAGCTGCCCAGGCCAAGTGGTACTCCCTGGCTTCGGGTGTGAAAAGCAAGACAGCGAGTCCGGGTGGTGCCCAAGAAAGGAAAGGCACCACATCTGTGCAATGCGTGTTCATTCTGGGCTCACGAACGAGGTTCACATGGGGAACAAAACGCTGGACCCTCAAGGGCAAAACATGGGTTTTTATATCCTTCTCTCTAAGCCAGCCAAAGATCTCGTTTCAAGGCAGGAGCATGCAGGAGCCACTGATCTCTGTCCTCATGTTAATCCGGACAATCAGACGAAAGCACCAGATCTCTCCCAAGCATCCAACCCTCCTCCAGGCCAAGCCTCCATGTCCCCTCCTGCTTGATGATCCTTCTCTGGGCAGCAGATGTCCGACTGGATGGAAGGACACTCCAAGCCTCATACGACCAGCGGGGACGCGGGACTGGTGGATGAGAAAATCATTACCGATCTGTGTGTCCGCATCCTCCGCATGGCAGAATGGATGGCTCATAGGCTGTGCACCGGAGTCATCCGAGTCCATTTTCCCCGCTTGACCCCACCTCAGCAGCACTGAATCCGGTCCGGCGGAATGCTCCTGCACATATCTCGTTTCTTCGACCACCCGGAGAAAAGAACACCAGGAGAAGTCGAACATGGCCAAAGCACACCTATAGATCGTGTAAATGAATACACGCGTTCCCGTTCTTTAAACTGGTCTTTTCGAAAAATAGATGCACGCAGTGTGACGGCATTGGATTTTCCTCTCCCGAGAGTCTCTCTGAGAGTTGTTTGGGGTGGTTGCGACGCTTTTGGGTCAGCTGTTTTCGAGGTTCCGTGGTGTTGGTCGCCCGTTTCATCTGGAGCTGGGAATCTGCAGATGTGGAGCCTCTGTGTGCTGAATGACACTGGGCAGGTCTCTCCCTACGAAGACTAGACCACCATGGCATACCATGGCTATTCAGGGTGTTGCATGTAAGTAAAGAATTCAGGATTCTTCCATCAAGGCATTGAAAGCCACCCTTTCTGAGAAAACGGTTGGCACGAGGCAATCTCAGCATCTGATCTTCAAAAACTGCCAATCTCAGCAGGCGTGTGACTGCTGCACTGGACGAGTCAAGGAAAACAAAGGAGCCCTCCCACAGCGAAGAGATCTGCAGAATCTCATGTCCCAGCGTCCAATACCACCTGCTATAGAAGAAAACCAGCTTCAACCTGTGTGCTCCATGTTCACTAGCGAAACTAGGTTCATGCTTTTCTAAAGCCACTACGTTCAATACAAATTGCTTCACTTGCTAACCACGGAATGCCTCAGTCCTCAGCTGTATAAAGAGCGGCAAGCGCGGGTCTTGGTGCCGCTCGGGGCAAGCAAGCTCTTCCCCAAAAACCACGTGCCACCAGGGCCTCGGCTGAGCTACCAAGAGCGCTGAGTTTTTGGACCCTAAAGCTATAGCTATTAGATGCTATAGCTTGAGGTGATATGAGGTAATGATCATCCTCTTGTAATACCCAGAGCAAAGGCGGGCAATCTGCACAAGTCGACTGCAATCCTCTTAGTTCATGTCTGGTGCTGGATCTTCTTCACAAGCCGTCCGACACACCAACCCGCAGTCCCCGGAATGGGCTCCAAAAACGGTCCCCAACCGTCCTGGGCCACCTGGCATCCACAGCTGTGCCGGAGCGCGACAGGTCAAGTCCTATGGCTGAGTGAAGATGAATGGTCCGCTCTTCAGAAACTTCACTGGTGTACTGGTGCCGCCAAGCCCTAGAAGAGGGTGCCCTTTTCGGGGCCAGGATCAAAGGAGGTCAAAGGAGATCAGAACAAGGATGTCCCTGCATATTGAAGCTTTATAATAGACAGGGCTCGTGGAGCACCAGCAACATGAGCATCCTACCATTGCCACATCATGTTCAGTTCTTACTTCTTACGACAGGTCATGCCTTATCAGCTAGAAGATACTGTAGACAAATGATGTGGTCCAGAGTCGCGTCCAGAGATGCAAAGAGTCTGGAATGATCCAGGAGCTTAGTTGCTGATCCAGAGCTTAGTTGCTGAGAGCTGGCTTTGTTCTTTCTCTTTACTAGCTACCATGCCAAGTGCCACTGGTTTGTGAAGGATGAGAAGGATCTAGAGGGACCGATCGCCTTCGAATCATCACCTAAGCTCCTAATATTGCTGGCAAAATAGTTGAACCAAACAGGCATATGCATTCCGTCAAATCGTTCAATCCCTTTCTACAATGAGAAAGACTCAGTTCATTGCAAATTTTAAAGAGTCGAATTGCACGAGTGAAAACCGCACCTTGGATTCGAACGCAAACACACAGGAGGCTTAGGCAAACGGCCGATCTTGATTAAGTGATCTTACTCCTTCAGTGCTACAAACACGCACCAGAACAAACCTCTCCTCCTACTGTGCATCGTCCACTTCAGATCAAGAGTTTGCCAAATCATTACCGTCGTGTTCGCTTTTGCAGTAGTCGTTTCCAAAAGAGAAGATCGTTTCAACAGAGTGGCCAGTAGAGCCAAATTACGGGATCACTTCATGGTGCTTCACTTTAAGGGATCCACGATTCCTTATGGCTTTCTACACACTCTGTATAGAGATACAGGTGAGGGTTCCAACTTTGATTAAATGATGCAAATTCATGCAAATTTGGATTATTCATTTGACTCTCTAGCATGTCATGTTTAAAGGAGAATGTCTTTCCAAGGGACCTTGCCGTCCACTTCCATGCTAGTGAGTTGAAGTCATACAAACCAAAGGACACAAGCAAATATGGAAATCATCCTTGAACAAATGGGTGTTCTGTAGTTTTGGGCACCTATATTAATACATATTAATACAAGTTGTTCATCGCATATGCTTCTTCAGACTAAGCGAAATCCACTGAAAAGAGGATAAGGGAGTCTATAATCTAACACATGATTCATGTACTATATTCATGTGATCAAATGTTCCCTCCCGAACCATCCACCTAAAAGCAAAGTTTAAAAAAATAACTGTTTGATTCCGGAAGAATTGGCACAGTAGTCACGCTTAAAGAATGATCCTCCCTTTGTCTTGTGCCGCGAAAGCCTCAAGCTGTCGCCACGACACGAGCTGCACTGCATGCTGCCGGGCATGCTTTGGCTCGTTTCTTGGAAGCCTTTCCACCAATATCAACCAATGTCCTTGCACAAAGGACTCATTCCACAAATATCGCAAATACTCAGACACATTCAGAAACAAAGCATGGCAGCACGGCGCTGCACCCCAAGTGCAGCACCATGCAGCCATGCTTTGGTTGTTTGTGCCCTAACCCTCCCAGCATGTTCAGTCTGCACATCATACCAGAGCAACGCAAGAACGCATCACCCTGCGTTGTGATACAGCGCGATCAAGCCATGCCCTACGTTGTGCTTCAACTGCCATATTCTCCACAATTGCTCCAGAATGGTCTCTCAAGAGTGCATGGCCGCATTTCGCTGCTTTGCCAAATACAGTTGTGTCCAGCCAGACTGCGTGCAGCCTCAAGATCGCAGTCACTGCGTCAACGTCGCAGCATGTGCATTCCCCAGATCACTGGGAATCCAAAACAAGGATGGTACGACGACATTGCACTGCACGGCCAAATACTGCGACATCTTATATAGTCATGCTTTGCTTTGCACCTATCGCAGTCCCATTATGTGCATTCGAAGGCATCCACCATGGCGCGCAAAAGCAGCAATGATTTTGCTTCGTGATTTATACTTATGAGGGTGGCATCTACACCAACTAACCTTGCAAAAAAGCATTGTGAAAGGAGGGAACAAACGGGATACGGCCTCCAACCTACTAGCGACGACCTCCAACCTGCATGGGATGTGAAGCGTCGTCGCAGGTTTGAATTGACCCCTCTCGGTGCGTCTCGTTTTTCGGCTTCGATATGCTTGGAGTCCGAAACCAAAGCATGCCTTCTCTCAAAACATAGGTCAAACTGGATATGACTCAAGAAGAGAAAGCCCAAAAAACGTCATTGGCAAACAAGAAAAAGAAACAAACCCATTCGTGCTATTCCCGTCGGTCTTCTACTAGTCTTTGTCTTCGCGTTTGGTTCAGCTTCGTTGTTTCGCAATACTTGGATAGGCTCGGGAAGAGGTCCCGCCTGCCAGGTCACAAAGTGTCCATGGGGGAAGAGGTCGAAGTAGGAGGACTCAGAAGCAAAGTAGGCGAAGGCATTCGCATACCTCGGGCCGTGAAAGAAAGACGCATGATCCTGGTGTCCAAGACATCTGTCTGGGAGGGGATGGTTTCCAAGTGGCTGGGAGCCTTTCGAAGCTTTAAAAACACCCGCAACACCCAGGGGATCGACGCGCTAGGTCGCCGCACCATTCCTTGGGCCTCAGCAAAGCTCGATTCCGTGGTACGAGAAACTGCACACAGCAGTATCCTTTGACTGCCTGGCAGTGAGGGCGCACATGGGCGGAGCATGGGCGGAGCGTCTTGATTGAGTGGAAGTTCCTCAAGCAAACCAAATGGCTGTTCTTTTAGGGGTCATGTGGCGGATGCATTGTTGGCATTGGCCAAGGGCCCGCAGTAAGTATGGCTGCAAAAAGGAAACGTTCAAACAAACAAAAACAATAACTAATCTTCCTCGGCCGTGGCTCCTTCTTCACTCCCGCTTCATCTTGCGAATCAATGATTGTAGGAGCCCCTACCACATGAACAACGTCCGCTTCGGTCTCTATCCACCCGTCCGCGGGGGAAGCCCCGCGCGACCTCGCGGGGCGGCGCCAGCGAGCTGCTGAAGAGGCGTCGCCAGAGCTTGGGCGAGGCGAAGTTGTCCCAGGTGTGCACGGAGGTGCCCAAATCCAAGTAGTTGTGGCCTGCCAAAGCGCAGCATACCTCCTGTTCGTGGTTTTTGGGGGCGGATGGGGGCGCGCAAGTCAAAGTATGGTATGATGACATGTTTTTTGATGTTTTTTGGTAGTAGTTCTAAGGGTCCAAAGATGGGTGTGGCTTTTGAGGTAGGGCAAGCAGCAGGGCAAGATGGTTGGGACTACAAACGATTTGGTGAGGGTTGGGGACAAAATCGTTCCTGTTCTTCCCATCCCAACCTGGGAGACTTCCATATGATATGTATAGCAATAGACTATAGACATAAACTACATTAAACTACCAAATTGCTGGATCTGGCAGTTGGAAATGACGTGTTGTGGTGCACTGCACACCCCTCATATTCTTGGAAAAGGTCCAGTGGCCAACATGTTTGGTAGCTGTGAGACATTGTAAGGGTGGAGCATAGATCAGGTGCCAACTTGCAGTCTGCAAGTTGGAAGGTGCCTGCATCTTTTCCAGGTCTGACAGATTTCGACCGGGAATGGGCACCATCTAAGGTTCAAGTTCCCATATCGTCAAAAAGAAGTTGGGGTGAAATGGGCGAAACGGGGTGAGTCTCATGACCTTGAGACATAGTTGCCTTAAACACTCGGCACTACTGCCATCCCGTTCGCAAAAGAACTGAGGTACCATCTACAAATGGTCAAGGTCCAAGCCAAATGAAAGGAACTCGCCCTCCATGCGGTCACTCGTGTCACACCCCGACTCCTGTCACACGAGTAGAAGTCATGTCACACGAGCGAATCATGTGCCCGTCGTCTCTGAGCATCCTCACTGAGATACAGGAATGGAAAGTTCGCCTCGGTACGTTTCGACCACCGTTTTTCGGCGAAGGCAGGGAACACCGACCGAAGGCCCACGGAGACCGACCGGTCTGCGCCGCGGATGGAAACACGGTCGGTGCGAACGGGACTGAAACGGTCGGTGCGGAACCTTCAGCACGTGGAAACGAACGAACGAGGGGCCCCACAGTCAAAGTGGCATCCTTTTTTTCATGGCATCTACTGATCTACTGGGCTGCACAGTGATTTTTACACGTCGCTTCTCTCGGAGTGTCCCCATCTATAGACTATAGAGAAAACAAATCGTGTATTGTGTATTTTACATATTAATACAAACATATTATCTGTGTGTGTAACCCTTGGAGTCATAGGGATGCTTTTGCATTCATTTTTGTTTTATCGCAGGGGATCTACTTTGGCGATGCCAGGGATTTCCATGGTCGGCATCCAACGAAGACACCATGGATTTCCTGTGATATGAGTCAGGGACGCCTGACTCACGTACCTGCTTTTTCCTTGTACTGAATGGCATGAGGCTAAGCCCAGGACCTCAATAGCTGCAGACATGCACGGAACGCCGTCAACCTGTCGCCTCGTCGGTTCGTGGCCTTTAACTACAGGAACTCTGGTCCCCTTCACCTGGTTTTTCAGGATTTGGGTCTCTTAGGCCAGCGTGTGGCACCGCAATCAAGTCAGTACGCATATCCATGAGTGTGTTTGGCTTCGTGCCAACCCGGGATGAGCCCGCAGAGTGCCTCCCGTGGACCCGTCGAACGGGTGTACGTCGAACGTATCCACTGCCCGGATACAGAGCAGCTCGCAGCGAGCGTAGGTGGCCTAGGCCGTACGTACGATGATTTTGTCCCATCTTTGGAGTTCCAAGTTGGCTCATGCCTTTACGTGACCGCAGCGGTCAAAGCAGCCAGCCGCTTCGGCAGGGCACAAGGTGACCACAGCGGTCAAAGCAAGTTTAAGGTCCATTGGGACCTGTGGAGAACTTAGCCCCCTTCTCCCCTGCCCTCCCCCTTTCTTTCCTTGCTTTATGGGGTTTTCCTGAATGTAATACTCAGGATCTCCCCTTTCCTTCTTTGGTGTGTCCCTGGACGATTCTTCGTAGCTGGGAACACCTTCCTTTCTCTCCTCTCCCTTTCTCTCCTTCTCTCTTTCTTTCTTTCTCTTTTCCCTCTCCACCTTCCTTCCTCCTTGGGTGTCCCTGGATGCTTTTGTCATAGCTGGGAACCCTTCTCCGCTCTTCTTTTGGTGTGTCCTTGGACGCTCGCGTCGTAGCTGGGAACACCTTCCTTCCTTCTCTTTCCATTTTCTCGTCTCTCCCCACCCTTCCCTCCTGTCTGGACCTTAGCTTGGGTTGCTACTAGGGGCTCTTGGCCTTCCTACTAGGTCGCTACTTGACGCTACTTGAGGTTCCTGGCCTTGCTAGTACTTTGTACCCTTTGGCGCGGAGCTTAGAATCTTGCCTCCCTTCGGGGAGGCGTGTGTGTGTGTGTAACCCTTGGAGTCATAGGGATGCTTTTGCATTCTTTTTTGTTTTATCGCAGGGGATCTACTTTAGCGATGCCGGGGATTTCCATGGTCGGCATCCAACGAAGACACCATGGATTTCCTGTGATATGAGTCAGGGACGCCTGACTCACGTACCTGCTTTTTCCTTGTACTGAATGGCATGAGGCTAAGCCCAGGACCTCAATAGCTGCAGACATGCACGGAACGCCGTCAACCTGTCGCCTCGTCGGTTCGTGGCCTTTAACTACAGGAACTCTGGTCCCCTTCACCTGGTTTTTCAAGATTTGGGTCTCTTAGGCCGGCGTGTGGCACCGCAATCAAGTCAGTACGCATATCCATGAGTGTGTGTTTTTGGATGTGGATGAGTAAACTATAGTAAGTAGGTGTAAGTAGTAAGTGGTTGTTGTATGATCTTTGCTCTTGACCGCATACTTCAGGGCTGATATTGCACATCGAAATCAATCCCTCGACATCCTCGACTTGTTATGTGTCGCTGAATGCATGCCACAGAACTACTGTAGCTTTAAGAGTTGTTTCCACTTGACCTCAAGGCAAGGCTGTTCCTCAGACATCTCAAACATAGTACGTAGCTGGCCAAGCAATCCATGCAACTGAAGACTTGAAATTCAACATGCGACCTTCAAGTTTGGATGAAGCCGCAGTGCGGCTTGGCATTGGCTTGGATCTGTGCTCATCTACCCATATTTTGGGAGGATTCTCTACAGACCACATTTGGAGGCAATCCCAAACAGGCCACATGGAGCCATGGAGCTTCCACCATGCTCCACCATTCCACCGTTGATTCGTGCTCGACCGAGCTGCATCCAGCGCTCCCTGGCGAGCTGCTGAGAGGACCTCAGCTCCCGTCGGCCGATGGAAGCTGGACATAGCTGGACTCAGTGACTCGACCTCATTCATCATTCGTCTCTGGTTTTCGAAGATCGGCGCATCGTGGTCGGCCAAACACCACGCCCCGTGTCTTCGGTCCCGGGAGGATTTGTTCGGTGCCAAATGGTCGGCGCACCTCTTCCAGGAGGCGAAATGGATGGACATGCTCCGGCGCATCCGCGTGTAAGAAGAAGGTCCAATCCTCAAGGCGCAAAGCGTGCTTGGTGTCCTGTCACGTCCGTTCCAAGCAACTTGTGAGAAGTACTGATGATATGTACGGAAGGGATTCTTAATGGATGGAAAACACCCAGTCAGGGGTGTCCATAAACCACCCTTTCCCGTGGTGCTGGTACTGAGAAGTGATCATAAGTGTGGGAACCATCTGGCAGCCCTCTACTGAACTCATCGTCCACCCCAAGCACCACACGTCGCTGGTGCCGACACCACCACCTCCAGGTGGTGCCACTGAAACCTAGGCACCGGACCGCCAGGTCGTCATAGAAAGGTCCGGACAAATGGTCCAAATAGGCCGTAGCCTCGCACGAGCTCGTCACCGGTCTCACGCTCGTCACCCAGCCCTTGGTCTCTCCAAACCTGTAGGGATTTGAAACCCCAGACCCCTCCAGAGGCTTCGGGTCCGACCCCTGCAGATTCGGGTCCAGGGTCACGTCTGGTCAGAAAGACCATTAGCCCCGGGGATCGAGCCCGTGACGTCATACCTTTGGGGTGGCCACCGGCCACGGGGAGACACTTGGAGACCAAGGTGGGTTTCGCAAGACGCAAAGGGGCCGGCAAAGGGTCTCAAAGTGTTCAGAAAGAAACAAACCAGCATCAAGTCCAAGAGTAGGAAGGTGCGAGCAATGAACATGGCTCAATGGTGTTTTGAAATGAGAAGGTATGAGAAGGAGGTGACGTCCAACTGTTTTGCTTGGAGTTGCTTGGAGCTTCTTTTCACGACTCCAATGTCTGTAGGTCGGTTCGGAGGGGTGGCTGGTCCCCAGGTGCAGAACCAACCACCATTTCTGGGGTTGGAGGCCATCGCTAGTACCGCAAGAGTAGCACTCACACGACTGGGGAGCCCTCTCTCATGGCATCGGTCCACCCGTTCGTTTTCGTCGAATGCAAGGCACGTCGTCCGCTCGTAAGGCATCCTCCACAAGGTGCACCTGGACCACCTGCAGGTCCAAATCCAGCGAAGTAGACATTTCCAGCGACTGGTCCAATCCCAATCGAGTCCCGTCCAGTCAGCGGCGTGATCTTCGTTAACTTCTTAACGAAAACATCGACACCGATCGAGACACCGATTCTTAGTGACCCGATTTGAGGAACTCACCGGTGGAACGAACAAAAGGATCTTGGACTCCGGTGGGCGACATGGATGGCCGAGCGAAGTAGACCAATTCCAATTGGTCCAACTTCTCACATCGGGCTCCTAAAGAATACTACAAGGAAAAAATAGACTACACATAACTATACACCAGAACCAAAGGGATGATCCTCAACATGCCAGCCATCTCCAGCTGTTCAGGAAAACAGTGCTCAATCTTCTGAGAAATTCTGGCCGCACTGGCTGGGTCATTGGACGCGACATGCGTGGCTGGGACCCTTCTGGTTTCACGTGCACGGGCCGCCCGACGTGAGCAAAGTGTTGCAGCGTTTGGCTTAGGAGCTCCTGGGTGAGCAACGAACGTCCAACTCCTGAGGTTTCGTGGACGACCCATGGGACGAGGTTAAAGGCGGCACCTTTGGGACGGCCTTCCGGATCGTTGGGTGACTGGAATCGCAGAGCGAATCGCTGGCGACGGATCCACCGATCATTCGTCTAAAATGGATCCCTGGACTTTCCCGACCAGGTGGCTTGATCATTGAGGGAATCGAAGCCTTTCCAATGACCATCCTGCGAGGACTCGTCGGGGTGAAGAATCTTCGTCGAGAGGAAGGAACTACGGTGAGAAAGTGCTGCACAGCCAACCCTCAAGTCGAAGGACGCTGATCCTCGAACTCGGTCCCACTCACAGATCCCCAAACAAGTTCCCCATTCACCCATCGGTTCCACTGGTTCTGTCTCAGAAGAGAAGAAACCTCTATCTATGTTTTGCATTGTTTTGCTATATTCCTGGAATATAGTGGGAGGAATCAGTGGAAATCCTTGAATATCTGGGGTGGGTTCTGGATCCTGTTGTGGTCTCCGGCAGCGCTTTCAGGCCACGTTGAAGTGCCAAAACATCAGTATCCGATACACTCCCAGAAAATCAGGCCTCGGTGCTCCTTTTGATCTGTGCGGTGCTCCTTTCTATTGTTATCTCCAAGGCTTACCCACATCGAGCTTCCCATGTCACTCTCCTCAAATCCCGGCGCAGCTGCATCACCGCACTTCTCCTTGACCTCTGCGGAAGGAGCTGAGGACGATTCGGGTGGCTTGGACTCTGAAGGAACAACTTAAAGGATCCGAAGAGGCAAAGCAGAACGAGCTGGTGGCATGAAGTAAGTAGTAACTATAGTCAGTAGTCAGTCTCAAAGCCTGTAAAGGCCACCGAACTTACACCACCGAACTTACATGGATTCTGGCTTCTGAAGGAGGTCCATAATTGTCACCAGGCTGAACTTCCTCTCCTGGAAGGGGGCTATGAACAGGTGAGGACCCCTGGTTTGAGGAACCCGCGAGTGGCACAAAATGTCTCCTAAGATGACATATATATATATAGAGATGTAAGAATGGTTGAGCTGAAGAAGGAGCCCAGCTCAAAAACTGATCTGCCAGCAACACAGAAGAATATCATCCCTAAGTGAATCCAAGTGAGTATCGTTTAGAAGCCATGAATCCTCCCCGAGGCCCAAAGGCGTTTGCAGGGAGACATACCCGAAACATCTTTGTTCCTAACATGTCACAATCTGCAGCATCAGGTCCTATGCAAAGCGTCCAAGCATCCCACAAAGATCCGCGTGTGGCTACGATATCGCGCAGCCTGCCAGCAGAGCAGGCGTGGTCCCCCAGGACAACATGGAGGCAGAAATCGACAACAAGCTTGGATTGGAAAGGAATCTTGGGAAAAAAGAAGCCGCTGGGTTCCAAAGCCTTGTAAGATCTTGGACGATCTTCACAAACAAACGAACGAACCAAGGGGTGGATCACCTAAAGGAAAATGAACACCCTCCCACCCTCCCCGATGGTGGACCCGAAGGTTTTCGCTGGTGGACCCGATGGTCCAATTTCAACATCTGCACAGCAAATCTCCAGAGAGCATACTCTTCCAGTGTCACATAGAAACTCAAGGGAGTTTGAAAAATGATGTCCATTGCCTCCCTTTACAGTGGGAAAGAAGCAAGTTTGCGTGTGTTTGCAAGTCCAGGATCGCGCTGAAGCATGGCGATGCATCCGTAACGATCGCGGCATCCAGCCACAAGATCGCTGTCGCCACAACAAAGTCACAGCCTCTATCAGCATGTTCATTCTTTGCGTCTCATGCCGTGTGTCAAAACAGAGCGCAGCAATGCGCAGCATGCTGCGCTCCGTTTTGGACAGCCTATGTAATTGTTCACGTCGTGCCACCGGCAAGTGGCAATGTTTGGTAATGGTGGCGCCTGACTGCCAAATGCAGCCTGCTGGAGCTGCAGCACTTGGTTTCTTGACAGTCTTTGGAGTGACATGCTCTTGCAATCCCTTGTATAGGATTGCTTTGATTCGTTTATTGAAAACCTCTATATAAATTGACATGTCCTTGCCATAGAGGGCTCATTCCGCACATCCTTCTGCGTGCCAAACCAAAGGACTTTTCTTGAGCCCTTTGCACTGTGACGCAGATTTCACGATCGCGGCGCCATGCTCTGTGACATGACATCCCGCCCCAAAAGCCGCCCCATGACATCGCTTGCGCGCACGTGACCATGACATGACCAGCGGGTTTCACCGCTGGTTGGGATTCGGATCTGAACTTCAGATCACTGGAGCGGGGTCGCTTAGGACCGCTTGAGGCTGACCTCAAACGGTGGGAATGGATCGATGGAGGGACAAACCTCCACTCTCCGGAGAGATATATAACATTAAGGCAATCATTAAGGGCGGCAAAGGGTGTACCATGTTCTGAAAGGTGCATCCGTTGCTGGAAGACTTATCTTTCACAATCCCTCCGATTAACTTCTCAGCAGCTAGGCTGTCATTGAAAAGCATTGAAACATCCACTGTCTCAACTGGTGCTAGGCCAGTGCCAGGTGCTACCCCAAGATTGGTCCGCTTCCGCGGATCTCTCCCCTCCATCATCCTCCCCTCCTGTGGTGCGAGCACTTCGGCCAACCAGCCCAATTCGTCCTGCGCCCAGAAAGGCGTCCAACGGTCGTCTGGGGGATTTCTCCCAAGAAATCAACAAATCTTCTTGGGCGGTGTCGTTTGTGATGGTTTGTGCTTACGATCTTCAGGAAGCTCTAGTGATTCCCAACACTCAGAGTCTTGCTCAGACATAGTGTGTGTTTAAAAGTCACGGAAATATAAACAGTTCTTCACTTTGGCCCTGCCTTGTCACAACCCAAATATACCCAAAAAAACCTTTTGGTTCCTTCTTGCCTCGTGAGTCTGACAGACAACCCAATAAGCACCAATTGAGTCTGCCCAGGCGTTCATCCACAGGCCCTTGTAGTCGGGGCAAAGCACATCTAGACTCATGATCACTAGACTTCATGCTAAAAGTGGCGTATGGAGATGACTCAAAGCTGTTTACCTCCCATGGACTCCACCAATCAGCGATGGCGATGCATCCAGACCAACCCTGCCTCCACCAGTGGGTATCCTCCACCTCAGAACGAATGACACCGGCATTCATAACGGCGAGAATCAACGGATCCGCAGCCCCACGAGGCACCGACCAAGGACGCCAGATGAATAAGAAAGGCCATCAGAGCATCCAGAAAATCATACCCCACATGATCAATGGCTGCTTCACAGGGCGCAGAAAAATCGGGTGCTGCCTGAAAAATCTGGTGCCGCACATCGCACATCGCATCAGTCTCAGAAAGTAGTACATCATTTGAAACTCCAGTTCTATCCTGCGATCTTGTTGATCAAAGTTTATCAAAATGATTGCCCATTCCATCTCTCAACCTTCAGCTCTATCACGCTCTATCCATGACTCCAAACCTCCAAGCCTCCCCAATACACCTCATCCCAAACACTCCTCACCACAGCACGTGGTCTCCGGGGCACCCAGCCGGGCGATCGGGCCACGCTGCAGAAGCAAAGCACGAAGTCCACCGTCCTCGGCCAGCGGCGAAAGGGCCAAGCGGATCGGACGGAATCCGGTTCCCACACGCGATGTCCGATGTTCCATCGATGTCCGGAGGGAAAAACAAGGAAAACACGTATGTGTATATATATATCTAGTCACAGGCTTTGCCATTGGCTGTAAAAATGTATATATATATATATCCTGGATTTGGAAGAAAAGCAAACTCCTGCGAAGCACACCAAGACCATCTGCTGCACTGACATTGATTTCATTGACATTTCTATATGCACTCTCAGGTCAAAAGATGACATGACCTTCTGTGGGGAGACCCATCCGCAGCATGAATGATTCCTGCGACTAGCAGCCTGCCTGCCGATCCACCTGTTTTGAGTGTGCTCCAAGCATCGCGGTGTCCAGGACGCTTCCAAAACCCGTCCAGGACCCTCCAAGAAGGGTGGATTCTGTGGGCCTCAAAATCAACCCTCAGATCGATTGCCCTCAAATAGCCCCACCAGCACCAAATGTTCAGAGTCGAAACTCCCGAAACCTCCCCGCAACCTCTCTGGATCAAGAACCACCCAGGATCAAGGGTCCAAACCCACCAACGATCAAGGATCTGTGAACATCAAATCTCACTCGGTACCAATTTCCAGGCGGAGATCGACGATTTCCAGGTTTTAACGAACACGCACGAATCAACCAACCACAGTCTCATGAAAGATTCAACGCCCGGCCCCAACATTTGATCTTGCTTGGAAATCCTCCCTGAAATCATTCCATGCTTATGTGGATGTTTCCATGGCCAGGACTTCGGATGACCCATCAAATCCGGTTCTACCAAACAGGGCTGGTGAATTCCAAATCCATGATTCTTTCAGGGAGGGGGCACCTGCGTCATGGATGGCAGGGGAACTTTTACTAGGAAACAAATTATGAAAAATCTAGGATACTCGGGAGATTTCCAATACTATGAATCTAGGATACTCTAGGAACCAAATTATGAATTACCATTTGGTTTCTCTAAAAGTACCAGATGATGAATAGGCCAGCGCTTCTTCAAGGGAAGCTCCCTTGAAGTGTGAGCTATCCTGCGTCCATACTAGTAGCTTAAGTAAGGTACTAGCTACCTCTCCCTTAAGAAAAGAAAAGGCGCCTTTCTTTCTTTCTGTAGGGAGGGGGGGAGCGGGTTACAAAATATGGTTGTCTTTTTGTCATCTCTTTTCATAAAAAATAAAACAAGACAACCATATTGGTTGGTTGGTTTGTCATCTCTCTCAATATGGTTGTCATCTCTTTTCATATTCCGTATTGGTTGCTTGGTCTCTGATCTCTTAAGCTCGGTCGCCCGGCTGGGTGTGAGGGTCTCCGCTGCGCCGTCGCAGCCTAGGGCGAAGATGAAGCAGGTCCGCGGGTCGCGATGCGCGACCTTCCCCGGTCGGCTCGGTCCGGGTCGTCAGCAGCACCTCGTTGTTGTTTCTTTTAAGGAGTAAAACCTCAACTGTGTTGGGGTGGCCCTGTCAAACATGTTGAACATCTTGTCATGTTTGTTCACTGTTCACCTTGGAAACGATGAAAACCTCGGAACCCATTCTTTTCAGGTGGCCTGTTTAACATGGTTTTACTTGCTTGGGTCTTATCGCATTCGCAGCAACTGGAAGGACCAGTAACCAATCCACTGAACTGTTTCCTACACCAACTCTACCATCATACGAACCACACTATTAGGAGCTGGAATTGACCCTCTCCTGTGATGATTTGGATTGATTCCTTGCCGCCAGCCGCTTGCCGCTCGGCCGCTCGGTGTTTGGTCCAAGTCGCTCACGGACTCTCTGATAACCGTGCTGTAGAGGCCAACTTGGCCTCAGCGCGGGGGCCGGGACCGGTACATCGCCTGTGGCGCTTGGTGCCGTTCTCCTCGATGTGCTAAACATGGCCCTTTCAACGGCTCGTTGCGGCATGGTGCTGCTTCCTAAAACATCCAGCACGTGCGAAGTGCGGCAAACCTCCATAAAAGCCCGGGGATGGGAAAAGGCGACGTGCTCTGAGCGAAAGCTCCAATCGGTAGCCAGTCATGGGAGGTACAAGCACGTCCTATCCCCAGGAAAAGGGTATCCACACTAGCACATCGTGCAGGTGTTGACCCACAAAGATATCTGGTTTCAGAGCGCATATGATCGCATCTTTTGTGAAAATATGTTGTAACATAATGATGTGAATATCATTTGTCCAGCTGTGCAAGTGAAAGACTTCATATCATCATATTCTTCTCCCTCAGCTGTCTTGGTCCGGCTGGACAAGGTGCGTTTCAGCCAGGATGGACGCGCTTGGATCATCTCCTGAACGACGATCCCGTGGAACGGCCGCGGGCTTGGTGGTCAGTGCGGCGAGCGTCGAAACGCGATGGCCCACCTTGTGATGACTTCTTCGGCTGCCAAATTAGAATCATCCATGAGACGAAAATAGATTCTTTCATTCCATTTGCTTCGTCTCCATTCCATTGGAAGCTCAGAATTCCGATGCACGACTTGACAAGCCTGGCGGTGAAGCATGGCGGTGAAAGCAAGCCCTGGAAAGGCAGCACTCAGCGCCTGCCAAAGGCCCCGCCTTCGTGCAAAATCTTGTGCAGGATGTCTTGGTAGATGTCCTGTGCCGAAAAAAAACACAACATGAAACAAACAGGAACATGGGAAATACCTGCAACAGCGAACACTGCGTCAATCCATGCCTTCTATTTTTCTTTTAGGCCAACAACAAGAGGTTGCAAAACCTAGAGGCAGAAGCAGAAGGCTTCTTCAAACATGTTTCACAAACGTGGAAAGAAGAACCCATCTTTCCCCCATCTTCCAGTCATTACCTCCCCCCACAGACGCGTTTCAATGCTAGCAATCCATGCCTTCATTGGAGTCGCACTTCGTCTCGCTTCGTTGGACCAGCTTCGTTGTCCAACGCAGTTTGCTACTCTTGCCTCCAAGCCGACCTGCTCCTCCCTGTCCACGAAGAGCCGCTCCTGACGTAGCACCGCTAAAGGCGAAGATGAGGGGGCACCGGAAGAGGCACCTGATGCCTGTTTCTCCAGGCAGAGAGTATGTCTCAGCCTGGCATAGCAAATCCAGCAACGATGTGTTCTCATGCGGTCAGGAATGGAAGCAAACTTGGCTTATTACAATGAACTGTTACTAGAACAATGCCTTTTGGCCTCTACTACATTTGTTTACTTAGACTTGAGAGGTTCCTTGACTGAACTGCCCCCAAAAACCCTCGTTCCGGCCCTGCTAAAGCAAATTGCGTGTCCTCCTGCCGAAGGAGAAGCGTCTGCAAAACTCCAGGCGCACAAGTTGCTGCCAGCTGGTGCCAACCTAATCTGAAGGGACACAGGATCCAACATGCCGCTCTGAAAGACTTGGGAATGTCCCAAGAAAAGGATCCTTCTCATTGAAGGACCAGTTCTCATTCTGGTTGACCAAAAAAGGCATCTGACCATACAATTTCACCAGAGCAAGCATCAAGCTGTGTAAGAAGGGCCTGTGTGTGTAAGCCATATACCTGCGTTTGATCTTCACCACCAAGAGGCGTGCTCATGAAAATGTAGTGTCAGTTCAACGACGTGCCGCTTCCGCGTCCGCTGAAAGTCTGGCCAGAGGCAGCCGCTGCACGAAGAACCTCAGGCTTGGCACTGGTGAAAAGGTACAGGAGACGTATACACGATACTGATAGTTACATAGTTTGGGTTCTGACAGGCCATCCGCAAAATGAGCAAGCCGCCAGAGTACTCTGGTGAACATTCGCAACCAAAAGCACGGCTCACCAGTCGTGTAATGGTCTGTTTGGACCATGGACCTTGAGTGTACAAATCATCCAAATCATCGTTGATGCAGCCACCACTGTGCGCTTCTCGGGGTCCCGACGGTGCCCATGTTGATCAGCAAGTTCACATTGACCTCATGTCACGTGTCCATCCGCCATCACCGTGGCATCAAAGGTTGAAACACCTTCGGACTCATCGGATTCCGGCGCCCGGTGCGCCCCCCGTGGGCGCCGAATGGGGCGCCCGAAGATCGCCCATCGGTGCGCCCCCGCGATATTGATCGAATTGAGTACTGTTGCTACGTAGCACAATGGAGGGTACCTTGAAATCAACATGAAACAACCTAATCATGTTTGCACCTCTCCCATTTCTGCACGAGCCTAAAGAGCATTGACATATCTTTCATCGTGGTACACCACTAATCTACGCGCCATTGGCAAAACCATGGCATCCATGGATCAAAATTCTACGTCTACGTATCTTGAAAAAAAGAATGCCAAATGTTCTTTTCGGTAAGCCGGTAAGCCCCAAGAGCAGCTACTCTTTTCGATCACTCAACCTCTGAGTCTGCCACCACGCCGGAGGTGTAGAATCTGGCGCAGAAGATATATAATCGGCACATCAAGTCACTATTCCCAAGAAGCGAAAACAACCCACCCAAATGGACCAAGAAGCAAAAACAACAACTCTATATATCTGGCAAATCCGTCCACAATTTGGAACACCAACAGGAAGCCGGAAACCCCTGAAAATGAACACGCCAGCTGAGGCCCCTTGAATCAGGCCTGGCCAGAAAACCCACATGTTGCTGACCTCTGGGTACAGAGGCCTGATCCTGGCCACCAACAGGTCCCCAAGGCCCCAAATCCCCGGCCAACTCCGTTTCAATCCAGGCCAGCGGCGCTCCTCCGTGGCCTGCTGCAGCCCGGCGAAGGACTCCTCGCCGCACCCGGCCGCACCGGGGGCGGCGGGAATGGCACCCACCTGGCCGAAACGGGGGGCGGGGGGCGACCTGAGAGATGACCCAAAGGAGACCCCCAAAAATATCCCTGAAACAATCATATATATCAATCCTTCTCGTTGCCCAAGCATAAGGGGCGTGTAGAATGGTGCAGATATGCCGATATGCCTCATTCTTGTTACCCTCTGAAACAATCATGGTTACGTGGAATACAGCCTGTGAAAATAGAGGAATTCAGTCTTCCTGAATTTCGGGGCCATCTTCCACTTCCACCATGGACCAGTTGGGTGGAGGGTATCCGAATCTTAATGCATGATCAGTCTGGATGTTCTATGACGTTCTATGAATGACCCAGTCGACTGGGACAAGCAGATAGAACAGAAAGCAGATCGTTCACCAGCGAACGGCTAGTAGAAGAGTGCATATCAGCAAACCGTCTTACTTTCATCAAGGATTTTTCTGTGTTGGTGTGCGTTGGTTCTGAACCAAATCATGAAGCTTCTCGCTTCTTCAGGGAAGCTCCCGCTCACCTCAGGCCGGCAGGAGCTTCCTTGAAGAAGCCTAAGCTTTCCTGCGTCCCAGCTACTAGTAGCTTTGTATAGCTTAGTACTGCAAGCTTGCTCCTCCTCACGGCCGTAGCCCCTAAAAGGTAAAATCTCACTTTTGAACTCCAACACCTGCCCCCCCCCCCAAAACAGTGCTCGTTTCGCCTCATCGACTTCCACCTCTGCCTGGGAACCGCATGGGCCGTTTGTTCGGCGCGGTCGGTCCGCGCCGGTCGGTCGGTCCGCGCCAGGCGATCGGTCAGGGCCCCCCGGCCGATCCACAGCGTTTCAACCAAGAGATCTCACCCTGCGGAGAATCCAACGGGTTTGAACAGCAGTTTGGACCGCTCACAGAATCGCATATCATTTTGGACAAAATGGGCATGTGCGACAGGAAACCTGCACCTGCGATGGAGATCCACCTAGAATCTACTTCAATCAGATTAGATCAGGTCCAAAAAAGAACGAAGCTGGTCGAATCTATGCCGAAGCAAGAACAACCGCGCTTCACCCGAAAAGCCTCAATCAAACGCCTTCTAGACTTCATCCTTACAACCCTGCTTCACCCTCATCCCCCATCAACGCCTGTGGGGAGATCTCTGGCCACCCCTGCAACGAAGGCGAATTGCAGGGGATGGTCATTGTGAAACCTATACAATATCCTACAATACTGATACTGTATCAACTGTGCCCAGCAGAAGCGGAAAGAGAACCCCCTCCTCAAACCACTGGGAAGAGCGCCATCCAGACATGAACGAGTGGATATCACTAGCCTCTTCGTTGGACTTCGCACAGGGGTGCATGCAGAGAATGTGCCACAGTGGCGAGGATGCACAGTGTAGTAACACATGGCTGGAGCATCCTGGATGGTTGAGATGTGCAGTACATCAACAACCACAGCACCAAGATGCTACAACTACAGTCGCACACCCTCTCCCTAGTAGCCTCCCTCGTCAGACTGAAACGGTGGAAGTAAGGAAGAAGGTCTGTGAAGAGCACCTGCGTCCGCGACCTGTTTCTCTCAATTGAATCCATTTACTCTGGATTATGGCATTTTCTGGTTTGAGGTCTCATGTTGCTTTTGTGCATGTAATTGTTGCAGTATTGGATAGTATTGGCATGGGCCATGCATCTTGGCGGGAATGCACCAAAATTGGGCCCAACAGAACGTCCAAATACTTTACCCACATCTTGTGGGCACAAGAGTCCCCACCTTCCCGGCATGGTTTTGTTCGTTTTTGGCGCTGTACAGTCGAAGAAAACTCGTCCAAAAAGCGAGGAAACCAAAGAAACGGCTTGGAACCACACCTGCCTCGGCACGCAAGGAATAGAGGAGGACACTGTTTGATCTGGACAGGCGCAGGACCATGTGCCACTCTGGCACCCGAACAAAACATGTCCAGTCATGAGGTTCCATCGGAGGAGGAGTTGTTTTACCTTTGTGGATGATGACAACATGAGCACTGACATTGGTGGTTTGAATCCATCCTGGTCTGTGTTGGAAATAGGGTTGGACATGTCACCTTCCGTTGCCACACTGGTTTGTGCTATGTCTATGTTTTCCTCTTGCTGTGGTGACCTTTTGAAGGTGAAGAGTTGAATTTACAAAACTCTCGTTGGCCTGCTCTCAATGAACTCTCCAAAGGCATGCGGCATTTTCTGGAGACTCACCACATTCAAAGCGTTCCGCGATTCTCTGCAGTACGTTGTATATCATATTAGCTGTAATTACACATGACTTCCGGCCCCGCCGAGTGATTTTTACAGACCAGGGTGCTGGCATCGCAAATTCAGTGCGCCTTGAAGTCGTTCGTGAAAAGGTTCCGTTTTCAGTTTACAGCGTTTCCTGCGCTCATTGAAAAACTGGAGGTGACCCTTGTTGTCCTGCAGCTGCTGGTAAGATCCTGGTATGTTAGAGAAATCCGCCTGCACCGAGGTGCTGAGAGGGGCGTGGTTACGTTGAGGTGCGAACACTGAGCTCCAGAGCGTTGGCTTTGGGTGGCACCGTTTGGGAACAAAAATGCATATCCTGCATCATGAGGTGGGTCTGGAGAGGAGCTGGCGGTGGAAGACAACGTGCCTGCAAGATCGGCGCCGTTCAATCGACCATGCATTTTGCATGTGTTTGATCCTTTTTCTGCGTCCAACGAGGCACAAGGCGCTCAGTCCAAACAAAGGCCACCAGTGATCACCAGTGTATAAAGGTGGACATACCTTTTTGGTAAGGCCGCGCGTCACGCAGCTCGTACATGACCACCATATTCACTATATGGCTCAGACTCGCCCTCCTTCTCTGGCCCCTTAGCCTCTACAGCTGCTGGCGTCGCACCGGTCTGCTTTTATATTGGCTTTGTCGTCACCTGTGTAACGCATCAAGGCACTGCACATCAGACCTGCAACAGCATCCCGGCGCATGCAACTCCCTGCTGCAACGTCAAAGGTCGGTCCCAATCGATCACTGGGTGATTCATCAAAACCTCCGCAAGTGGAGCATCTTCTTTCGCTTTGGAGGTATACGTTCCAGCTCTACAGGAACCCCTGCGGGATGGTGATACATTCCCTTAACAACTGCAATTTCGCTGTTCCCTGGATCCGAGTCCCTTTTTTCGTCCCGGTGTCGCCCAAAAGGGGCTTGCACCAAACCATAAACGGATGGATATGTTAGAGGAATATACAAGAATAACAATGCAATGGCGTATGCACCTCGACAAACCATCGAGATAAGGCTGTTCATTCGCAAACTATCCAGTCCCACCACCCTGCGCAAAGCCTTAAAGCAAGGACATACCTGTCAAACGGTGACCTACGTCAGCCAGGGTGGTCCACTCGTGATGAGCACGTTGAGCAAACCCGCAATAACACCCACACAAAGTGTCTCCGGCGCGAAGCGACTTTCTGTTTTCCAGCCCCGCGTTGTCTAAAGAAAGATGAAACGTTCAACATACTGTCACTATTGTTTTTCACAAGGTTGAGAGAAACCTTGGCTCTGATATGTAGCGCTTCTTCATGAAGAAGGTGTAAACATGCTGTTATGGTATGCTGCTTGGCTCGTACTAGCGTCTGATGAGGTAAGGACTTGTGCTTCTCGTGAGTTGGGAATTGCCTGTGTTAAGTCTTTACACATGTGGTTTGCACTGGCTCACCTATTTTCAATTTTTATCAGGTGCAGAAGACATGGGAAAGGACTTATATAAGCTACTCCATGAGGACTTTGCAAAACAGGAGAAAGGTTGACACTACAAATATGAATTTCACTCCAAGGTCATGCCGGCAGGCGGACATGAGTAATCAACTCTTCCCACCCAAAAGAAAAGAACAGGTCCCTTCTGGCTTGTTCACATTCTCCTCGCGCAAACTCCTCAACTCCTAGTTGCGTAAGACTTCATAAGTTTGCATTGGTGTTCACGTTGTTACCATGCTTGCAGGGGGCGCAACATGAGCTAGGACTTGATGCTTCAAACAGCCCCAGGCAAGCATACGAAAAGAGATTGTAGAAATCAACATGATGTTCCATAAGTCCTTTGTCACTAGACGGTAGTACATATGACGCTTGCGTGCAAACGACCGCCCTCTGCAAGAGCGAGCCCAGCCAACCCAAAAGCCATACAGTTCACACGCGTAGCTAGGCAGTCCTTCTGCTTCCACTAGCTTTACCCGCAAGCAGATCAAGCGGCGTTCCAGACACTTGTGGGTGTCACTGGAAAAGACGCCGTGTCTTTTCCACAGGACCTTGCGCACTTATCCCAAGCAGGAGAATCTACTCGCCGAGGTCTATGACGCTTGTGCCTGCCGCCACCACCACCACCACACCCAGCACATAGTCCACCAGTTTGCCCAGCTCGCACCAGAGGAACTCAATGGTAGAGTCTGTGCTCGCTAGGATCTCGTCAGCTGCCCTCAGCAGCTCTTCCCGAATCTGCTTCTAGGAAGCACGTGCCTTTTCACCCGTCCTGTAATCACTCTATTTTTCGACCTGCAGATGACAAGCACCACGCAGTAGAAGAATAAAGAAGTGTATGGGAAACAACGTTGCAGACATAGTTGGATTCAAGTTGGACCCCCGAAACAATTACAACAAGGAGTCCAAGGTGGTGATCAGTGATGACAATAAGACAATAAGCTTTCCAATAGACAAGTACCATGCAGTGGACACATGAAAGAAGTAGTATATTGAAAACAAAAGACTTGCAAGTTGTTGTGGGATGCAAGTTGCGGCCCCCGAACAACGTACAACTTCAAAGGGGTCGAGAAAAACATCATGCAATGGATGCATGAAAAAGTATATGGAAAAGTCAAAATGCACGCTTTGCTGGATATAAGTTGCTGGATATAAGTTGGACCCCCTGGAAAATGTACAAGTTCAAGGCAACGGAAATAATGAAAAATAGAGTGACTACAATAAACCATCTAAAGTCGTGCTCATTCGGTTGCGCATCATCTGGGGTGTTGGCTTGGACATGAATTACCTTTCCGTGCGCCCTCTCTCGCTGCAAGCGGTGCGGGCGGTTGTCGTCGCGAAGCGACATAAATTATTCAATCAACCTTTCCTCAGTCTTTTTCACTTTGCTTAAGAGTTGGAAGCGAGATGTCTTTTCTTCCCATCAAGTGTGTGACCTGAGCTTGGAGCCCCATCTACCCAGTCTAATCTCCCATTGGCCTACAAGGCTGCAGGGTGATCCCAGCACAGTCATCTCCTTGGCCAACGCGGCTCACCGGCAATGCTGGAGATTTTGTATTTGCGCCAGTTGAGCGTTGATCAAGGTTGTACAAGTGGGGTAATGATGGGACGGGGAGGCGATCTGAAGAATTGTCGTCTTGCGTCGGCTGTCTGCATGTGACCAATGGCGTGAGATCAACATGAAAAGGAGATTCCTCCGTGTCAGAAGCTATCCCTTTCGTTACTTCGCATGGAAGCAAGAGTTCGCAGACCCTGTGTCTACTCTTCTGCTCCCGTTGGAGGAGGATAGCAAAGGGCAGGTCCTTTCAACGAGAACTCAAGAGCGCTGACCGTTGATCCAGAACTTCCAATGCATCCGAAAAGCCCAGAACTTCACAATGCACCTGCCAGAGCGGGGAACTCACCGGGCCAGCAGTTGTCGGGAGTCTTGTTGCACGTGGTCGAACGAACTCGAAGCAGCCACTCCTACTAATGTAGACTCTTAATCACTAAACCCATATGGGGGGCTATCAATCAAGAGTCTACATTAATTAGTTGTTCATAGTTTTTCATGTTTCGTGAAACAAAGGCAAGCGTTTCGTTGGGCAGCGGATCACGCCACAGCCACAAGACCACTTAGACCACTTGGAAACCTAAAACGCCACCCACCTGCGCCGAAAACCACGGCCGAATCTCCAAAACTCTGGGCCTTGGCGGTGTTCAGGGAGCCAGCAGCTAAGGGTTTGCCTGCAGCCAAGGGTTTACACATGCTCACACAGTAGAGCTTCGTGTGGGCGAATTCAAAATAGAGCCCTGCATTGCACATCTCACCCTTTCTTTACAAGTGCAAACCCCTTCCTCAGTCAGAATCTGCAAGACTTTTGGGTTTGAAGCCTACAAAAAAACACTTCAACGAAACGAACATGGTTTCCTATGTCTTCGGTCTTTTTGTTCCTTCTTCGGACGTCGTGGTGCCTGTGGCATAGCCAGGCAGAAAGACGGCGCCCTCGACGGGCTGCCTTGCATGTGTGGCTAAGAGAGAAGGTTCTGAGCCGATAGGCTAGGCATTCTCAGGCTTTGATGTGTGGATCAACGAGAGGCCGTGAACATGGAAAAAGCCTGCTCTTCTCCATCGATCAGTGACACTGAAATTCCATCGATCAGCCTCCTAACGATTCAGTATTCAACACAAGAAAAAGGAGGATTGTTGGGCTGGGAGATGGCTGGAGCAAGCAGATGAACAAAATCCACAGGTGAATACCATGGCGCGGCCGCCGTTTGCCTACGGCTGTTTGAGGGTTTGATGAGCTTGCTTAGAGCATCGTAGGGCCGCTCTGGCCGAAGATTCCACATAAAGGCCACTGGATCGGAGTCTTCGGCCATCTGCTGATTGATATCATATAACTAGAGAAAGACACATGTAACTACATTGTAAAAACCTCTGGAGATGGTTTTTGATCAACCCGTGTACATTATGAGAGGTTCATTGTGTCTGTGCATCGACGATTCCTTTTTGAGCTTTCCCCATCTCCTCAGGTTGCGATTTCTTTTCCTACGTAGACTCTAGACTCTAGACGAGATGAGCAATGGCTCCTCTTTGTGTGACGTTGATGGGAAGGAGAAAAATTGGAGATGATCACCTTGGACCTCAGGCTCGAGTGCTTTCACTCAAGTTCACAACTCTGGCTTGGATTTGAGAGATTTGAGATCTGCAACAAAACCATGTGAGATCTGAAGTTCCTTCCAAAAGTCATGTCCCATGTCCCATCCCATGTCCCATCCCCTTTCCCTTTCGCACTCAGAACTCGGCCAACTACACGTCGTCGTCTCCGTCGGCCCCTGGCAGGTGGAACACCCCCGGTCCGGCACCACCACCGGTCCACCCGGACGGAACCACCGGTCGGCGCCGGATGGGAACCGAGGCGAAGGACGTTCGCGGCCGGCGTGGGCACGTGCCGGCCCGTCCGGTCGTCCAAATGAAAGGACTTGAAGGGTGGACCGTGAACAGTTTGCGCAACGATGTGTGGCACCCAATGGCTGGCTTGCATACCCTAAGGATCTGGCTGGCTTGCATAATTCAATGTAACCTGACACAAGCCTGCCAGCAACAAGCCCTTGAGTCTAAATGGAAGGGGTTATTCGTCCGTTGACCACACGTTGCTACCCGTGGTGTTCGTGACCACCTCAACGTCCCTTGTCCTTCCCACCCTCGACGCGGCCGGGCCTCAATGGCCCCTAGAAGCTGAAAATCCTCACCACTGTCGCAGGCCAACATGTCATCCTTGGGTGCCACCAGGTTTGGATAGCTTTGGGAAGCACCTGAATATAAGAAACCACTTGGCCGAAGGATATTCCACACTCGTTAAGAATACCCCACTCGAAAGAGCTCTCGTTTGTTCAGCC